ACATTGATTATAATTAATTAATTACCCCATTAATCTCTCCCGTGACATATCACAAGCTATAGGTTACTCATATCACGTAATTTTAAGCCATGTATAAATCCAATTTTTCGATATTACCATGTTTTTATGTAGAAAAATCTACCATCCTCATATCTCAAGAGTGTAAAGAATAATTAGATAAATAGTATATTTCTACAGTTTTATGTCAGTTACAAATACTTTTGTGACCCTATATTATAGATCGGTGTTGCTGTTAAGATTAATATTGATATAGATTACTGTTGCTATTTGTATTTATCAGTAAATACAAACACCTATATACATAAATTCAAATTAATTTTTTTTTTAAATTTTAATAATTAAGTATTAATTATTTCTAGAGCTAGATAATTAAATATAGCGAAAAACATTAAAAAAAAAGGATGGGTGAGGTACCCGGAGGTGCGATACAGAGGCATCATGTACCCTATAGTTCGTAAACACCTTATTTTTTGTACTACACTAAATTCTAAACTTATATCTGCAAATTTTTTCCATCAGATAATATTTCAAAGAAAAAAATAGCCAGAAAATAGCTGTCAGAAGAAGCCTTTAAAGGATATCTACGTGGTTCTCTAATAGTTGTATGTACAAAATCTGCACGTGTTAATACCAATTGACAAAGGTAAGTATCTAATTATATATATATATATATATATATATATATATATATATATATATATATATATATATATATATATATAGTAAATTTATTTTGCAACAAAGTCTCTTAGAAGATTACATCTGATCTAAATAAAACAATAACAAAAAAGCAAATAAAATATTAGTTAAGCAAGCTTTATACAAAACAAATAAACCTATATACAAAACACTTAAAACTATGCAAAGTGGTGAAACATTATAATTATACACTTTAAAGAAAAAAAATATATTAAGTACTTCCTCAAAGTTCTGTGTTCTGGCGATATAAAATGTCATAGTATTTGTATAGTAAATAATTTTTTAATACGTAATTATTTGATAGGACAGTACAGGAGTTCAGTGGGAGTCTTAGGGCGAATTTATAAAAAAAAAAAAATTATTTTATTGTAACTATAGGTACAAATTTAATTTTATAAGAATAAAAATATATAAAATATAATAACAAACAATATGGGAATTCAGTGACATCAAGAGTAGGACGATTTTTTATTATTCTTAGCGAAGTTTATTGTATGGAATAGTATCATTTGATGATAAATGATATAAAATAAATATATAATGCAAAAAAATTAGCAAGTATCTGTCTGTTTTTGGAACATAATTAAACCGTCTTAGTTTATTATCTTTTACAGTAGATAATACTAGATTTACTAGCCTTGTGCTTCCACTCATTTTAATCAAATTTTATTTCCAATATTGACCAAAAGACTTATTTCAAAAGACCAAAATCTCCGTATCTAGAGTAAATACGTGCTTTTGTCAAGTTAATATAATATTTCAATAATGCCACCTTCATATGTTCAGAATACATTTTTTTAAATTTATTTAATATATTTACAAGTGTATAAATAAATAAAATACATTTAGTAAATTTTATAACAGAAAATAATAACATGAAATAACTTGTTACGAAACTACCCACTAGTAGCACTCTGAAATAAAAACGTATTTACACTAGGAGATCTCGAGGCCATCTTCTTTTCAGAAGCCTCGGAGGGTTATCAGAGATAGAATAAGAAGCAAGGCTAGAGACGAGAGGATTCGGATGGTTCTGAAGTTTATTATGGAAGGATAGGTATCTGAATTGGGCCGAATCGGAAACATAAGGCACATTAAGGTCGTTATGGATTATTTTATTGGTGACAAAGTAAGGAGCATTGACGTTTTTCCGAAGGATTTTGGATTGTAAGGATTGGATACGAGAGGAATTCGATGGCTTAGTGGAGCCCAAAGCTCAATTCCGTAAGCCCAAATAGGTCTTCTTGTAGTCATGTATATGAGTCTTTTGTTATTAACTGGAAACTTAGAGCGTTTCTCTAGTAAGTGTTGGAGTAGTCGGAAACGTCGAGCGGTTTCTTGTCGTTTTATTCTGGTATGATGATTCCAAGTTAGACATTTGTCCAAGTGGAGTCCAAGGTATCGGATTTGTTCAACAGGGATAAGTGCGGTATTATTAAAAGATAATGTAGGACAGTAGGTCATAGGTTTATGGAATAAAATATTTAGTTCAAAATATATAAATAAAGGCTGTATTTTTCACCACAATTATTTTATGTCTCCGTTTCAATTATTTACTAAATAGAATAAGCATTATTAATTAGATAGCTTGAAAATGGTATCATAGCCGAAACTTAGCCACTGTGGACGAGAAATAAAAATAAATGTAGTGAAAAATGTTGCGATTATTTATATAATAAAATATAATTTCACCTAAAATATAAAAACATATGATATTTAACTTAAAATTCCTTTTTTTTTAGGATAATGGAATATATTTTAAATACTAATTATTAAAATTTATTCATCACAATTGTCAGCAAATTTCCATGCTCTAAGAAATCCTTATTTTTAATTTATTTGTTGTTAATATATCCACCAATAAATATACATCAATAAAATTAAAAATCTGTAGCTTTATTGAAAATTTTCATTGCAAATTGACGTGATATAATGATTTATTCATGACTTATTTTGTTTTAGAGCATATATAGAAAGAAAACAATGGATTTCTTCCGCTTGAAATTTTTTATTATTGAGTAATATGACAAATAATTTGTCATATTAGGAATAGATTCACAGCATATTTACAGAAAATATAAATAAATAAAATAAAACAAAAGAAAATTGACAATTTAATAACCTAATTTTTTTTCCGTTGGATATAATACATAGCAGTGCATCCTTCTTTAGTCGACAATAATATTGGGCTATCGATGCTATACAACCTCTCGTTACTACATAAACTCTTGGCCTATAATTAGCAATCAATCCTCGACCTAAATACTTCAAAAGCTCACTTTGATGCACTAATGACCTACTATCGTGCTCATCGGATCATCTCGTTTCTAGGGCCGATTAGGAAAAAGGAAGGCAGTTTTAAATTGAATTTTCTAGCAATTGGTTTTAAAAACATCTACTTTAAAAATTTCATCACCAAGTGAAAATTTATTTATTTTACTGTACTACTGCTTGTCAAACCGTTACATATGAGTCGCCACAATTTTCAAAGTGAAGCCTAATAGATTCTAATAGTAAAACATCAAATAAATCTTGCTACATTTTTTTTTTCAAAAAAGAACCTAAATAAAAAAAAAGTCGTTTAAAAATATATTTATTTCTTAAACCAGCCTATTTTTTTTTCAAGGAATGTAATGAAAGTTGCATTTCTTCAGTATTCTTTTTCTTCAGTAGTGTAAGAAATCATAATGATTAACAATCTGCTTTATTACAAGAACATGTCGTGGCACTCATTACTGAAACTCTAGTTATCACTAAACAGCTCTTCAAAATACCACAATACTTGTCATTTCATACTGACCATCCTAATGGCAGAGCATATGCCGGGACTGCTGTCATTGTACTCCAATTCCTTCTTAACACCTACTCCCATTATCTACCCAAGATTTCCTACAATCCACCGCTTTCATAATCAAAACCTTCTCCTTTCCGGTTATCATGCATCAGCGTATTGCCCTCCTAAACCATACATAATCCAATGCCCAGTTTAGTTCTCTCCTTGACTAGTTAGGAAATCACTTCATCTTGAGTGCATACTTAAATACCAATCACCAACAATGGGGTTTAAGAACCACAAATTCTCGTGGCCGAACATTGCTGTCTGCACTCAATCCCCAACGTTTTCAATCCTTTCCCCCCAACAATCTATCTACTGGCCCACAGATCCTAACCGTAATCCCGATATGATTGATTTCTTCATCCACAGCGGCTTAGGTCCTCTCAATTGTTCTGTTACACACAACTGTCCTCTAACCGTATTCCACTAATTCTCTATGTTTCACTATAACCCGTCCCCAAACCTTCTCCACCGTCACTCATTAGAAGCCCCGTTAACTCGAACCTATTACACCAAATAGACCTCACCATATCCCTAAAACTCTCGATGATCTTGACTATTCCGTCAATTCTTTACAACATCAATTCAACAAGCTGTTTGCATTGCCTCCTATCCAACAAAATTCCTAAGAATAACAATTTACCACATCATAGTCTACATAAATAGCCTCCTATAGATCCGAATTTTTTAATTATTACCTATCCTCCCTCTCTGATGATTCCCATTGGAAAATTACTAAAAAAGAATATTAAAACCACACCAGATTTACCAAACTCTCCGGCGAGATGAGGCTTCTGGACAGCATTCGACAAGTTCCATCCAGAGCAATCATATTCCTCACATCTATACAATTGTATCCTTCATAGCATCCACTTCTCTCTGTTATGGAAACATTCCACTGTCATCGTTTCCCCACACCCTAACAAACCTCCCAACAATTTCACATCCCTTTGGCCAATTAGTCTCTCCCAATTCTTTAAATAATCTTTGTAAAGATCTTTTAGAAACGAATCCTACCCATTAAAAGAGTAAAAACTGAAGTGGACAAAAAATAATGAAATATGAACCATAAGACGCTATTATTCAGATAAAAAAATCTCAAAAAAAAAACGGATTGGTCCCTTGGCTGGTTGTTAATCGAAAATAATACTAATTTAAAAATAGATTAAATCTACAATACCTCTAAGGTTAAATTAGTTTCCAATTAAGAACATAAAAAATATTTTTAAATATAAAAAAATATTATTTTTATAAATTTAGTTTGTTCGAAGATTTTTTCACACAACTACAGTTAGACAGGCGTCTCATAATATTTTTTTATATCTACAGTAATAATACTTTTAGCTGCATGTAATTAATTTCTATGGAAATAGATATTAAGAACAAATGTGAAATAGGCATAGAAAGTAATTTAACAACAAACAAGGTATGGAATAATGCAATTAACATATTTATCATTTAATGTGATATTAAACAATCATTACATGTTTAAGTATTTTTCAGATCTTTACGACAGATATGGCCAGAATATGGTGTCTTTTTTTGAAGCTGCAGTCTGAATGTTCAATAGCAACCATATATTATACATTTAAATTTTAATTTCATTTGGTGAAGAAGCTGGTAGTTTTCTGAAAAAGAATTAAAACAATTTAATATAAATGAGTTAATTATTTTTTGTATTTTTATTAGTAGTACAACTATTATTTTGTATAGTTTTTTGTAATTTCATTCAATTGGTATACGCTAATGATTTGGAATTATACAAAAAAGTTTCATAAAAAAAAAGTAAATAAAAAAATAAATCAGGGCTAATAGATAATGAATATCATACTGAGCAAAAACTAAAGCATGAAATAAATAAGTAAACGAATAAATTAGTGGGCCTAAGATATTTTTTTATAAATGGGATATAATAAAGTTGCCAGTAATAGACAGTGTTCAACTCTTTAACAGATAATAAACTTTATAAGCCAAAAAGAGATCGCAGATACGAGTAGATGGTGATGCTTGAACATCAAGAGGTAAAACGCCACGATGGTTGGTTCAGTTTTTAATCGAGCAAGGCAGGATCATTGTTTCAGGTATATTTTCGTACCATTTTCTTGAGGAGATAGGTTTCAATTTTTTATTCATTCATTAGTAGTTAGCGCAATTTCTTATTTAAAACTGTGGAGAATTTATTTTGTTATTTTCAATAATGAACCATTGTGATCAAACAAAAAATTCAAAAACTTAACCCTCTCTCAAAATTTAAGGTTTTAGGTTTGATTTTTTAAAAATTTGTATTTAAAATTACCCGAGGATGATCCTCCTTCACCGACATTTCTATCCGCCTTTTTCTTTCAAGATGGCGACTGAAAAACCTGCGTTGCTATAGACTTTAGCGCCCAAACGAATGTACTGATTTCAATGAAACTTCGCTAAAGTCTTCTTCTCGATGCCCTTTAAATTTATCTATATGACATACTTCAACGAAAAGAAGCTAGAAAAAAAAATTATGAGGGATTTTAAAATCAGATTCCTAATAACTCAAAAAGTATACATTGTTTATGGTTATTTAAAAGTTTACGGAATTTCTAAAAAAAAAAATGATTCGTTGGAATCGGAGCAAAGATATGGTCTCTAGATCTTTTATAAATGTACTGCAAAGGTTATATCCTTTTTTTTTTTTTTTTGTTTTTTTGAATGTGTTACTGAGGTAATGCTAATTTTTTAAGCATATTTCTAATGATTTAAAAAAAAAGTTTAGTAAAATAATTGGAATCACCTTTTTTTTCATTGTCACTAGAAAGGTAATGTTACTTTAGATGTATAATTGTTTGGAAATAAGAAACTATTTTGGAATAATTTGCAGCAATTTTTTACTGTATTTAATGTCATTGGTTAAAAAAGATAACAAAATGATACAAACATGTAGTGCACTTCTACAAAGTCCATTTTTTTAAACAAACTTGACAATGTTTTGTAAAACGCTCAAATAAGTACGCAAATATTTTGAGTAATTTTACAAAAAGTAAAGTATTAGAAATCAATAAAATAGTATTTAATGGAACTACACTTTTTATTTCAGTTCAAATATATCTCAACGTTAATTAAACAGGGACATTAGCTTAACTAGATAAATTAAACTTATTGTTACAATTTAAATAGAAAAAAGTGCTCGAAAATTCCAAAAACTCGATAAAAATATATTTGTAACAAATATCTCCTTATCACTTGATAGGTTTTGAATGTCTCGTCGTTTTCTTATTCCTACGAGCCTGTAAATTGATGCTGAGCACTTGATAACTTTAGGAAAAAGTTGACTTTTGTGTCATTGAAAAATAGAGCATTTCGTCCCTGTGTGTATCGGAAGATAATATATATTTTTAAATCATTACAGTGAGCTAATTTCTTGAAAACATGGTGTAATTAGTATATATTTAGATTTTTACTTCATCTACAATACGAACAATGGCTTACATGCAAATGACACAATTTAGAATAATAGGAAAGGCAAAGTTATTAGAATTATTATTATGTGAATAATATAATCTTTAAAATTGATTGTACCAGTGTATAAATCTTCCATCCATTCAATTTTTGCTAATTTTTCATTAAACACGTCTTTATGACAATTTAACGTGATTTTCAATTTCAATTTTCAATTTGGAACATTCTTCAAAAATATTACGATTGCATAATTTTTCCACTGAGTGAGTAATATGATTATATTCATAGAGTTAACTTTATGTTGCCATGCCTAGAAATAAAAAATAGTACTTTAACTTTTTCCCTACTTCAAATAGACCGGATTTGAACGGTTTAGACAATTTCTATTCTCAAATAGAGTGCCTTATTGGATCTGTTTCTTGTTTACTTTTTGATAATACATAAATTATACAACAATATTTATTTATTGGAGCTAAGGCTCAGCAAGAACTTTGGTCTCACTTATAGTATAATGTTTGGTAAAGTTACATGACCTTAATAAGTTAGGATATAGATTATGTTACCTATACATTAAAAATTATAATACTACTTTTGGATTATTATATTTAATTTGTTTTATAAATGATAGAAACTAAATATAATATTATATATAAATATATATATATATATATATATATATATATATATATATCTTTATTTATTTATTTATTTTTCTCTTGAATAGTAACCTTATGCGGGAGGATTTTATTTGCAAAAGTTTACATACACCATGCGAATTCGCATAAAATAATATTATATGTATGAATTTCATGCTTACATTTTATCTATACTATATTTTTTAGATACAAATGAAATAAAATAAAAATATGTAAAAAGGAAAACAAAAAAAAGTATATTTAAAGCTACGATACTTATTTACATGAAAAAAAGATTTTTTAAATTTATAATATATATATATATATATATATATATATATATATATATATATATATATATATATATATTCTAATCAAATGTTAAGCCATTTTCATTAACATACGATAAAGTAGTAGCGAATCCAAGATGTAAAACTGAAATAATATCGCATTTCTAATCTGGTAATAGGAAGCTGCTAGGTTATCTAACATAAGATAATAAGGATTAAAAATAGATGTGAATTTACATTGGTTCGCATCAAATCTGTTTCATAAAATAATTTCAACTAAACCTCGTTCCCCAATAATTATTTCATGTTGTGAATATTAGCAAAAATATGATTGTTGCTAAGGTTGAAACAAAGACAACAGTTTATGTTTAGTATCAAATCACATCTACTCCTACCTCACCTCCGAAAATGTACGAAACAAATTAAGAATAACGATTGCTACCATCGATCAATTATATCTTGTGTCGTACATATTAAAACATAATTTAAATACAATTATAGAGACATTGTGGAACTTTTAAATAGAATGTTCATAAAATATTTACAAAGTATATTTAAAAAAACGGTTGTTGAAGTGATAAATCGACTGAATTGGAAAAAGAAATATATATATATCTGGTAATATTTGTTGAAAAAATAACTAAGGAGAAGTTTTATTGCTTAGATCCTCTCAATATAATCTCATTTCAGTAATTTCAAATAAAACTACTTACGTCAATCCGTCGTTAGTAAGGCAGCAATAATATCCTCCACCGCAGCAATAGTATCCATATAAGCAGCAAGTTGTAGCTGTACAGCAATGGTAACCGTCTGGGCAGTATGTCGTGGCGCTACAGTTTTCCCCTACGACAATTTTCATTACAAAAATACTTTTAATGTCTATAGTCATTATACATATTTACGTAAATATATTTCTATTAATGTATATTTTTACATTCCTTAACACACGCAGAGTAATATTTTTTCAACAAATCTTTCAGTTTAATAATTTTCTAAGCCTTCTTTATAAAAAAAAGCTGTTCGGCCAGTGTAAACTTTATTTAGTAAACCATTTTTTTATCTTTCATAGAATGTCGGTCCTGTATACCTTTCATAGAATCCTGTATACCACATGCCTACAAACAAGATTTTTTTACGGACTACCTCTACAAATGATTAAAGGTTTTGATGAAATAGTCGTGTAAAGTAACATATGTAATAATTACAAATATATATAAAAATATTATTTGAAGACTGACCTGTTGCTAGTGGTACAAGCATTGAATCAATGTCTTAACTCACACAATAGAGAAAGTTCATCCATAAACACTTTTGAGGGAGGGTGGGGGTGGCTAATTTATGCAGGGTTTTGAATTTTTGAGGATTTTGGGCCCGTTTTTAAAGGAAACAATATGGAACAGAACAAAACAATTTAAATTGTATATATAGTCCACAATTTTTATAGGGGTGATAAATAGCCAAAATGCAGTCATTTTAAGAAATTTATTGTTGGCAACGTTTCAATCCAACCATGGGGCTCATTATAAGTTCTCAACATTTTTTTAAAGACATCAGAGATATAATATTATAAAATAGATAATAGTTGATAATGAAATAAACTAATGGATGACACATAAAATAGAGAAATGGACTATTTAATAAGTCATACAAACTATAAACTAATATACATAATCAATATATAAGAAATGTAATATTTAATATTACTATGTTAATAAATGTATGGTTCAGCATTGAAAAATAATTAATATATATATATATATATATATATATATATATATATATATATATATATATATATATATATATATATATATATATATATATATACGCGATTTTTAACACAATATTTCCATTATCAATGCGCTAAAACACGTCGCATTGTTTTTGAAATCTCTTTCTCTTTTCTTTTAATAGAACTTCCGTACTCAATTTTGTTGAGCCATATTTCTTTTTAAAATACTTCCGTTTCAAAAAAAATATCTTCTATTAAAGTCGGTCCTCCCTCGCCCTCTCTTCCTGTTTGCTTGATGATATCTATTTATATGAATTTTCAACAAAAATGAAAACTAATTCTGATACATAAATAAATATAACTTTAAAAAAAAATGTATTAAAGAAACTTTTTGTCAGAATTTCAGTATATTTATTAATTTATTTGTAACAATGCTGGGTTTTCAACCATATACCGGTGATTTTAGCCTTAAAACAATATTTACTACACAATATCAAAATTAACAATAAATTTAAAGTTATAAAACGTTAAAATTAACAAAAAAGTAAACAAAATAAAACATATTTTGGGATTTAGTTAAATTATTTAAAGAAATAAAACAACATTTTTGGCATCTTCATGTTATTTTTCAAAATTTTACTATTTTTGAACTTAATCTCATTTCGATGAGCTTAGTCAAGATATGCGACACCTTTAATTGTTCCCTATAAGAAATACAGTTTCGTCGTGTTAAAATTATTTACAATGAAAAAAATGTGTGATAATTCAATCAATTAATACTTATAGTGAAAATTCTAATCATAATAGGACATTAAAAGAGTAATATTTCTTTACATACTTTGATAAGAGTTTACAACTAACGGTCCATGTCTTGTTTCTGCATAGTCAGTCAAGAAACAGACCAGTATTGGTAAGGCTAAAACGAACAGAGCTTTGACCATGATTCTTTGGTAGCCGCTTTGATACTGATAATGAATTGATATCCTCAACCGGTTCTCTCCCTGATAAAGAAGAAAGGCGATAGTGAAATAGTGCAAAGATTAATGGAGATAATGCTCAAGAACAATAATAAAATCTGTTTATTACAACTAACGAATGAACCATACAATATATTATAATTACATGAAGATAAAAATTATCTAATTATCTGTAACTATTAAGCACCATCCTGATACTATACGAAGAACCAGAGAAGCATGGATTCGTTGTGCTGAATGTTCCATTCAACAAAACGGAGGCCCCTTTGAACATTTACTCTAAACGTTGTAATAATAGTAAATAAATAATAATAATAAATAATAAATCTTTAAGCTTTGATATATGCTTAATAAATAAGTTTGAGACATATGTTAATATGAACTTTTTTGTTTATTTTGAGTCACTAGTGGATCCAGGATTTAATTTGGGGGTCTTCAGTACGAAAGCTTTTTTTTCATAAAAATGACGATAATTACATTGAAAAAAAAATAAACTAATTACCTGCATGAAATGGTAGATAAGTGATTCCTAAAGTCCTTTTAAATGTGATTAAATGAACAATAATACTTTAAAAGATAATTTTTTAATATTTTTTTTCCATAAAACATGGTTACATTTTACCGTTTTGGGATGGGGGGGCATCAGCCCAAAACCCTTTTCCCCTCTCCCCCCGTAGATCCGCCATGTTTTGGGTTAGTGAGCACATACCTAAAATAGTGCCGTGCAATTACAAAATACCCTGTATATATCTAATAAACTAAACGTAACATATGTGCCTAGCTCAGTTCCGTAAATTTCATAGAAATCATTTACATAGTATTTTTCATTTCAATTAGACAACATGTGGCTAAAATAAATTTTGTTTTATAATACAAAAAATAATTGATTAAACGAACCATGGATGTCGTGTTGTCTTCTCTGAATATGTTTGAAATAAATTCAACCTTCAGAACCGTGTTAATAAATGTAGGAGAGATCTTAGAAGAAATGTACAGGAGTATTAGGAAACTCTTATTAATGGGGTTCAAATTAAACAAAGCAGATTACCAAGCAAATGAGTGTCTAAATAAACAATGCCTAATTCCACTTCAGTCGAATTAAGAGGTGGTATAGCAGTTTAATTGTCTGTGCTAACAACTTATAAATTGGCCATGAAAATAGAAGAAAATATTATGTGATATGTCAATATAATTTGTTTTATTTATTTAATAATGTTACATTTTGTCACAATTGAGGACATTAATAATATTGATACAGGAGTTCATTCACACCGTATGAACAATAGATAAAGATAAACCAAATAAAATAACATCAAATTAATAATACTAAAAATTATACATATATTAGCCTAAATATTATATATAAATTTAAATATATATATATATATATATATATATATATATATATATATATATATATATATATATATATATATATATATATTCTTTTTAATGAAGTGTGATTATTTAGTTTACAACGTAAGATATCTAGAAAAAGCTATCTTTTAATATGATAAAAATACATTCCCGAAATTAAATATCCTTTTTCTAATTAATTAGATACAATTTCGAAAATAAAAATACTATTTTATTCATCTGTACCTGCTTTTGTAAGATTGTTGAGACAGCCCACTGTAAGTCGTTATGTACCTTATGTGGTAAATCTCGAGTTGGCAGGCTCTGAATTTTTGGATTTAAATGTGCATTAGGTATGCCATTAGGTACTTTGTGTAATGTGTTAATGAATAATTGAATTTAGCTTAACTGATGCATTGTAACAATAACATAAAAACAATTGTTAATGGATTAGAAAAAGAGTTTAACATAGTGCTTGTTTTAATGTAATATCAAGGCTTGGAGATTGTATAGCATCTCTCTATAGTCCCTTTCTCCTCCTAAATACACTCTACATAAACAAGTAACAATAAACAATAATACAACGTAATAATAAAACAATAACATCATATTTATTTCTACTTAAAATAAATTATTTCACTTTTTATTAGAATAACAAAAAGAAAATCATACTGAGAGCGTTGATCACATGGAGCGCTTAAGTTTTTTTACTAATGTGAGAAGTAGTGGTTCTCAATAGTATTAGTATTTCAGATTGATATTACTGCAGTTTTTGTAAGGCATCGGATTCCAAATCGGTCTCAGTAGGTTGATACAAATCTTACGTTTTTGAGTCAGTGATAATTTGAATTGTATATTTGAAATGTTTAGCTATAATTTGGGTTCTAAGCTAAAATATTGTATTAATAATTTAATATGAGAAATGAAAGTACATAGTTTATTTAGCGTCAATATAGGAAATTTTTCTTTGTTGGTCTGAGTCAAACTTCATTGGCCAAGAAAAACTAGAAGACGAATAGGACGACAATGCATGCATAAGTGTGCATAAGTGTAATTGACAAATCCACGAGCGTTCGCGGGAACAAACAAAAAGTTAGTAGTAAATATAAAATTGCAAGCGCTACCAGATTACTTCGACCACTACGACACGGGTTCAATTCCTGGGGACGGTAACGTCTCCACTATAAATTCACAAGGAGATAAGCGATCCCTACGTCTTACACCATAGCTTCTGGTCCTCCAGGTAGGGGGTTGGGCATAAGGATAATAATCCTATTCCGAAAAAAACAACTTATCACGAAACCTAATCTAAGGCTCGGAAAATCGGATTGTCTAAATACGGCAACGACCTCGGCTTTGAATCACGCATTATACATTAGATCTTGGAGTGTACGCAGTTTATACAGACCAGGAGCCTCAGAAACGGTATTCAAGAAACTAAAAAAAAAAACTAAATAAAAAAAAGAAAGAAACTATACATAAGAGCTAAGATAGCCAAATGGAGGCGAAACCATTATTGATGGCCATACAATATTCTACTTCGGGAAAAACGATAAAAATCCAAGACCTAGTGGAAATAGATAAAAAAATCCATGGAATATACAATTAGTCCAGTGGCAAGGAAATCAATCATAAGCTTCACTCCGATAAACGCAAGGATTAGTGTATTAGGAGTGAAAGGTGGTTGGTTTAATGTTACGATAATTAATGTGAACGCACCAACATAAGATAAAGATGAAGAGGAAAGGATGATTTCTACTATCAGTTGGAAAATGTTGTGTACCAAGTTCATAGGCATGACATAAAGGCGGGACAAGTTTTAAAGGCGGGACAAGTTCATGCATTAAACAAAAAAGAAGACCATACTGGAATTGTAACAGAACTCGGGATTCAGAATAAAAATCAGCTGAATAAGAGCTTTTTTTAGTCACACAAAATTAATTTCAGAAAAAATAGTTATCAACTAAATTCTTTCATTCCTTATTTTTCTAGTAGAAAATCTTTAAAGATATGTGCAATTTTACACGGTGGTGTCATCTATACACACAAAGATATATATATTTATATATTCCTAGATTGACGTATTTATACTTTCACTTGCATTTATGACTAACATTCTATTATTTTAATGTAATACTCTATGAAAAAATATTGTTTATTAATTTCAGATTCTAAATTAAGATCATTTAAGT